CTTRTGTTTTCCACTCTCACACTAGTAGGTAGTATAGCGCTACATTCATGGATGACCCTTGGTTCAACCTTGGTGATCTGGCCCACTTAGACTCTTGTTTTAACTCACATGATAGCATGTGATGTTCCAGTTGATCTTCCCTTCATATGCATGTGCTTTTCATTAGTCTAGCCACTCATTGTCATGTTCATACTTGGTGTGATGTTCCGGTTGATCTTCCCTTCATGTGCATGTGCTTTTTCATTAGTCTAGCCACTCATTGTCATGTTCATACTTGGTGTGATGTTCCGGTTTATCTTCCCATCATGTGCATGTGCTTTTTCACTAGTCTAGCCACTCATTGTCATGTTCATACTTAATGTGATGTTTGGGATGATCTTCCCTTCATATGCATGTGCTTTTTATTAGTCTAGCCGCTCATGCTCATTTTCATACTTGGTGTGATGTTCCGGTTGATCTTCGCTTCATGTGCATGTGCTTTTTCATTAGTCTAGCCACTCATTGTCATGTTCATACTTAATGTGATGTTCCGAATTATCTTCCCTTCATGTGCATGTGTTTTTCATTAGTCTAGCCACTCATTGTCATGTTCATACTTAATGTGATGTTCCGGATGATCTTCCCTTCATGTGCATGTGCCTTCCATTAGTCTAGCCTCTCATTGTCAAGTTTATGTTTGGTGTGGTGTTCCGGACCTTTACTTAGTTGGTCCCTTCTCTTTGCGCATGTATTGTCCACTAGTCTAGTCTTTCATTGTCAAGTCCATGTTCCGGATCTTTACTTAATTGGTCTCTTCTCTTTGTGCATGTGCTTCCACTAGTCTAGCCTCTCTTTGTCAAGTTCATGTGCCGAATCTTTGCTTAGTTGATCTCTTCTCTTTGTGCACGTGCTTCCTCTAGTCTAGCCTCTCATTGTCAAGTCATGTTTGATGTGATGTCCCGGGTCCTCACTTAGTTGATCTCTACTCTTTGTGCATGTGCTTTCCACTAGTCTAGTCTCTCATTGTCAAGTTCATGTTTGATGTGATGTCCCGGATCCTCACTTAGTTGATCTCTACTCTTTATGCATGTGCTTTCCACTAGTCTAATCTCTCATTGTCAAGTTTATGTTTGATGTGGTGTCCCGGATCTTTGCTTAGTTAGTCTCTTCTCCTTATGCATGTTCTTTCCACTAGTCTAGTCTCTCATTGTCAAGTTTATATTTGATGTGGTGTTCCGGATCTTTACTTACTTAGTCTCTTCTCCTTGTGCATGTGCTTTCCACTAGTCTAGTCTCTCATTGTCAGGTTCATGTTCCGGATCTCTACTTAATTCGTCTCTTCTCTTTGTGCATGTGCTTCCACTAGTCTAGCCTCTCTTTGTCAAGTTCATGCTTCGGATCTTTGCTTAGTTGATCCCTTCTCCTTGTGCATGTGCTTCCGCTAGTCTAGCCTCTCATTGTCAAGTTCATGTTTGATGTGATGTCCCGGATCCTCGCTTAGATGATCTCTTCTCTTTCGCATGTGCTTCCACTAGTCTAGCTTCTCGTTGTCAAGTTTATGTTTGATGTGAAAATTTCGGATCTTTACTTGTTGATCTCTTCTCTTTGTGCATGTACTTTCCACTAGTCTAGTCTTTCATTGTCAAGTTCATGTTCAAGATCTTTACTTAATTGGTCTCTTCTCTTTGTGCATGTGCTTTCCACTAATCTAGTCTTTCATTGTCAAGTTCATGTTTGATATGACGTTCCGGATCTTGTTTAGATAACCTTCTTCTCTATGAGCATGTGTTTTCCATTGATCTAGCTTCTCATTGTTATGTTCGTGTATAATATTCCAAGATATACTTAGTCAACCTTTTCTATGGGACGAGTGATCGACGTTTGATTGCTGCTACGGGGAGCTGATTTGGTTAGAAGCTTTTTCTCTCTCTCTCTCTCTTTCCCCATCTCCTCTCTCTTTCTCCTTCTCCCTCTCCCCTTTTTTCCTCCCTCCTTCTCTAGTCCTCTCTTTCCCCTCCCCCCCTTATCACCTTGCCTTCTCTCCCCCTCTCTCTCGTCTCCTCACTTAGCACATAACTAACCCTCTCCCCTCACTTGTTACAATGCCAAGGTGCGAACAGTAAAGGGAGACCAGACCTCACTTGGTGGAGAGAGAGGGCAAGGGAAGGATAGCCGGTCCCTTGTGCCACCAAGAAGGCAAAGGAAAAAGGACATTGGAAAAGTAAGTAAAGGGCGGAATCCAAGAAAGAGTATAAGTGAAAGTGAGGTCAGTTTGACTCAACCATTTCCCCGACTGCATAACTATGAAAAGAGAATGGGATGATTGAGCAACAAGAGGGAACAAAGAGCAGCCGAAGAATTTGAAAAGATAGGCATGTGGGAAGGGTTATGTGTTGACCCCCAACGGGGTATTGTATGGATCTTCTTGCTTGTGTGGGATTGTGCAGGTGAGTGATGGCTAGAATGCCTTGAGCGGGATAGGGGCGAGAGGAACTGGGCACCAAGAGAGAAAGGGAAGAGGGACAAAGGGGCTATGGGACCCTTGACATAGAGCCAACCCATGGAAATGACTTTTGTGCTTGAAGACTTGGAGTGTACATGAGAGTGCAATCGTACCAAGGAAAATGTGATGTTGTGTGTTCATGCATATGAGGACCCCGAAAAGACTAAGGGGCGTAAAGGCGAGGGAGAGGACGGATCCATCGCACCCCGATGACGCCATATAGCCACAATGCTTAGGGAAATGGTGTGTGGCCTAAGGATGACGCTTAGCCTACGCACAAGATAAGAGAAACACTCAAAGAATCCTTGGACTGCCTGCGCATTGGAAGGAGCAACTGCATGAGAACACAACAAAGAATAAAAAAAAAATCAACGTTGCGGAACAACCAGCGAGGCTACCACCCGACGTGAGGGCTGAGCTACATCCCCAATGTCAAAGCTCTCTCGCGCAATGGCCCACCCCCATCCATCTCAAAGCACTAGGTGGGGGTGACCCTCGGACGAATGGCCCGCGCCCTGAGCATGAGTGTGGGCGGGCCGAGCCAACTGGGACCCGTGGTGGGGTCGACTAAGGCTCGAAAGTCTACCGGGGTTTGGCCCTACAACGTACCTGGAGATAGCTGCCCCCAACCACAAATTTCTCACCAATTGGGCTGATGTGCATTTCGATGACCGGTCAATAGCCTCGGTACCACCCACAAGGCAATGCAGTGCCACCTCAGCCAAAATGCCACATTAGCATACTCTCATCATCATGCATACACCCGCTGTCGCCACAGCTCCCATGTTGTCGCCACAACCTTCCAGCGGCCGGCCTCTCTACCTAGGCCCCGCTATTCAACCAGCGCACCAAGTCACAATGTCGCCGGTGCCAAGTAAGCGGCGATCACAACCAGCTCCGAATACCAATTTGCAAGGAATATGAGTGTGAGCGATATACATAAAACCAAGTTGCGAAATCACACAGCTGAGCAAGTAGTAGTATCCCAAATAGAGAGTACAAATGCACCGAGAAAACCATCCATAAAGAGCAATACAATGAAGTATTGAGCCAATGTCCAAGCCCGTAGGCCACACCAACACAGTATCCAGAGTCGCTCTCTCTGTCTGGCGTGCAGCGCCCAGCCTACTCTACCACACTATCCTACTCTACAGCTGGTTCAGACAACAGGATCACGTCGGCTCACGAAGACCAATGTACATGACTGTCCACACCATCGGCGCCCTCTCTTCATGTACCAGGTACGTCACCCTCAATCAGACCTTGATTATCCCACACAGCGCCTCACTCCCTGAAGACCACCCGATCATCCGCTGTACCCCCTGGCACCTAGCAGCCCGGCTATGGCCACCTGCGCCCCGCTGCCCTGCGTCGCCCCTCTCACCACCTAGCGCTCCGTCAGCGTCCCTGGCATTAGCGCAGCATCAAGCAGAAGCACAGCAGCACTTCCGCATTGCCAGCGCTGGCCAGTCCGTCTGGCCTGGGCTGCCTCACTTCCTTTATGTAAGTGTCAGCCTCTTGGATGATGCATGTGGCCTGGCTGGAAGCTTCCAACGCAGTTCAGATATAAGTTCACTTCGGTGGCTATGGCGACTCAGCGCCCACACAACTCTCTGTTCGCATACACAGGATCACCCTGGATATCCCACGCACGATACTCTGTACACACACACACACACACACGTTGAACTCTATCTACAGCTATGGCGGCTATGGCCACCGCTACCCTATCGCTATGGCTACGCTCCTCTCTCACCCACTTCATCTTCGGGCTCACTGCAGACCACCTAGCACAAGTCGCTGTGGCAGCGCTTCCGCATGGCTCACGCAGGAATGAATGAATGGCTAGACGCTGCCCTTTGATTTATACTTCTGTAGCTCGCTGGTCTGGCCCCTTTCCCATGCCCGTGGTGCACACAGTCCCATGCGGTACTTGCTTGACTGGGACTGGGACTGCTGACTCAGCACGGGTAGACTCCACCACTTGCCCACTTGTCTCAGCCTAAACGTGAGCAACATTGAAAGACCACTGCTAGGACCTTCCGGAAGGCCGTGGACTTGGCCTTTCGATACAGTAGCAGCTACGACCTTGACCCTTCAGGACTGTAGCAGCTACGACCTTGACCTTTCGGAGAAGCTATAGCTACGACTTCTAGACTTTGCTAAGACTACTACACGACAGGTCTACAGATCGAACCCCTACTATCTACGGACCCTACGACAGTCCACCAACTGTTGCAAAGACACAGGTCTCAACTCTAGGGGTCGACACAGATACTGTACACAGGTAAGGTGAGGACTAGGGATCGAGCCCTGGGATCTGCATCGGCTACTGCGAACTGGTGAATACCGTTTCACCTGGTTTTCTTATAAAGAAGGCCATAGCTGTTGGATTATGAACCCCCTTCTGCATGTAAATGGTTTCCTATTCATTTACCACTCCAACAACAGCAAGCAGCAATTCTTAACAACATCACACCAATGGGTGTTCCCATCCAGTTGCTGAGGTTCTACATACCCGGTCAATCTTTTTGTTTGCATTCTCAAGAACTTCACTCATCTCTTGAATGTGCTTCTCATAAAGCTCCCCAAGCTTCTGAGAACCTCCAGCTGCAGCAACTGCAGCAACTGTTGCTGCCATTTCTGTTGTTTGACCACTCTGAGTGGCAGCAGCAACTGCTGCTGCCTGAGCTGCACGCGTCCTCGAGTACCTCCGCAACATAACATCATTAATGTGTGTCTGCAGGGCCACACATATGTCCTCCCCCTGCTCATCACCAAACATGCAGAGAATCACAACATAAATGATCAATATCTCAGCACTAAGATACCAATGAAACTTTAAAGAGTCCACCAACATGGAAAACAGGCGATGGGGGATCCGGTTACAGGAAACGCCCCCTTCAAGGGCCTATCAATTCTCACACAAACAACATGACTCAAACACTGTCGCAATTTTTTCCCTCCTATCCAATAACGCTGGCGGTGCATGGATCGGCTTCCATCATACAAAAGGATTTAGTAAGAACAAATCTAGACATCTTTCTGCTCAGGAATGCGAGAGTGATGGGCTCCTGGCCCAAAACAATCTTTAGGATGGACTAGATGACCCATTGCGGCTTCGCCCGCAAAAACAGAGAAAGAAAAAAGCACAAAAGAAAGAAAACGCATAAGGAACTGCCCTATCATATGCCGCTTCTTTCACAATAAGAAAAAGAAGAGCCTCAGAGCAGATGAAAACCCGCGTGCAAGAAAATAGCAGGTAATACCACCGAACATTCTTTTTTCTTTTCTTTGAGTGTTTTGTTTGGGGAGCCGTTACCTTTGCAGCATCGTTTTTGGTTTGTGCTGTGCAAGAACTCTGGACTTTTCTGAGAAAATCCAGTCCCTTGTCCAGTTCATGTTTTTGATAGAGATTCAGAACCAGACTTTGTTTGCTGTGTTCTCTGGATATGTTTGTGATCAAGCTATCTTGCATGTATGCCCCGTGCTTACTTGTTGAGTTTGGGCGCTGTGTGTGCAAGTGCAGGCGCGTGTGGGTGAGTCTCAGTTTGGTGGGCTCGGATGATGTCATTGACGATTGGCCCGGGGAAGTTGCTGGAAGGCGCCTCCAACTATTGGAGTGCCACTGATGTTAAGCAAGTTTTTGCATTGTATGAATGAAACAATCAGCATTCAATCTGCTTGGCAGTTGCTCTTCGGGTGGGGGACTTGTCGGGAGTAGCATTGACATAATAGCAATAATGCCAGGCGTGCATCTTGGAACATTTCCTGGAAGGCAAAAGGCAAAGAAGAAACGAAGTAGCACGTGTCACAGTCACATAATGGACAGCTTGGCACAGTCCC